GATTAATTATAAGCATTGGAGTATATTTTGTTTGATTTGCACATTATTTGACTAGTTTCAGGTTGTTTGGCTTTGAGTTGAAGAATTTAAGAGTCATTGGAGCTGGTTATGGAACTTCGGAGCGAGGTAAGTCTCCTGTCTAACTTTGTGAGAGGAAAACTACCCCTAGGTGATGTAATTGTTATGTGCTATTAGTCGTGGGTGATACGTACGCATGAGGTGACGAGAGTTCGTACGTAGCTAAAACATGTTTATTCTCGGAGAATTTCATCATCTATTGTGAGGTAAGTTATTCCCACCTATTATAAGTTAAATACATGGATTCTATAAGGATTTAAACATGAAAATTAGTAAAAATTTGGGATTTTGGTAGAAAACATAGAAATTGGTATTTTTGGATTTTGACCATGAAATTGGACATGAAATTTGAAATAAATCATATATTCGAGTTCATGGCGTCATGGGTAAAGTTTATCTTCGAAAATGTTCGGAATCCGGGCACATGGGCCCGAGGGTTGACTTTTCGAGCGGAGTAGGAAATTGCTATAAATTGATTAATTATAAGCATCGGAGTATATTTTGATTGATTTGCACATTGTTTGACTAGTTTGGGGTCGTTTGGCTTTGAGTTGAAGAATTTGAGAGGCATCGGAGCCGGTTATGGAACTTCGGAGCGAGGTAAGTCTCCCGTCGAACTTTGTGAGGGGGAAACTACCCATAGGTGATGTAATTGTTATGTGCTATTAGTTGTGGGAGCTACGTACGCATCAGGTGACGAGAGTCCGTACGTAGCTAAAACATGTTTATGTCCGGGTAGACTTAGGACTGTACCATGTAATATTTGGAATATCTGAATTTATTCTGTTGGCTTAAATAATTGAAATTATAATTGAACTTGATTTAGAAATATATATATATATATATATATNATTGTGTTCATATACTGTATCGTAAGCTCGTGTATCGTAATTCGATAATTCTTTTCCTTTCTTGTGGAGCGGGCCTAACGCCTCATTGGGATTATGTACCACACTCTCATGGGAGCGGGTTGTTCGCCATCGGCAGTATAATAGATGCATCTATGGTTTGTGCCGCTCGACCCTCGACAGTATACACATTATGAATGGATTAGGTCGATTGCCTCGGTAGTATCATATTCCTTCTGAGATCTGACCGTACGACCTCGGCATAATAGTGCATTATATCGCTAGTAGTTCGAATATTAGCGAGATTTTCCTTCCACTGATGCCTTGCATTTTATATGGAATTTTTATCCGTTTGTTATTGGCACTTGATATTTCTGAGCTGTCGAGATAGAATACGAGATTGAGAAATTGATGTTGTTAAAAGAAATTTTGGAAAATTGTGTTAATTACAGATTTACCTCACTAATATTGTTGTACTCTTATCTGTTTATGATTTACCATATTGATTTATTGGACCACTAGTATGTGTCGATGTCGACCCCTCGTCACTACTTCTCCGGGGTTAGGCTAGATATTTACTAGGTATGCGTTGATTTACGTACTCATCTGCACTTCTACACTAAATGTGCAGGATCTGATAGGTTCATTTGATGATCATCGTGGCGTGTAGGCGCAGCTGTTGAGGAGACTTCATGTGAGATACATTCCAGGCTACGCATCGCAGTCCACCGAGTCTCAATCGTAGTATTTATTTTATCCTGTCTTATTTGCATTTTATACAGATGTATTATTATTGTACTCCTTAGTAAATGCACATGCACTTGTGACACCGGGTTTTGGGGTACCTACTGGGTATTGATCATTGTAGTTCGCGTAATTATTATCATTTCACCTTGTAATTTATACCTTATACAGAAATTGGAAAAATAAAATCACGGATTTTCTACGAGTACTAGATTTTACACTACTTATTCAATGGGATTCATGATTTCGAAAATAATAAAATGAGTAACTAAGTTAATTAATCACCGTTGGCTTGCCTGGCGACGACATTAGGCGTCGTCACGACCTATAGTGGATTTTGGGTCGTGACACTTTTCCTTAATTGAAGTCATTATTATATTTTCCGTAATTTCTTATCCTTAATTGAAGTCATTATTATCTTATCCGTAATTGTTTATTCTTAATTGAATTTATTAGTATCTTTTCTGTAATTGCTCAACCTTAATTGAAGTTTTGTTATCCCTTTCAATGTTGACTTATCCTTATTTAGAATCATTGATTCATGCTATCTCTCTTACTGTCGAGTTGTACTTATGTGGAATTGTTGTTGCACACTATCTCTCCCCTTGTTGAGCTATTCTCATTGAAACTATTATTCTCTGTTGTCTCTTTCAATGCGAACTCGTTCGTCCATTTCCTTATGTTCTGAAGCTCTTGAGTTGATTTACTTGCCGTATTCTCTTATTATTGTTGTTGTTGCTGCTGTATGCAGTATTGTTGAGCCGAGGGCTATGCGTGGTTGTGGTATTGAAACTGTTTTGAGGAAATATTGTGGCATATGAGCACATGTTGTGAAAGTCATTTTATTTTGTTGTTATGTTTTGGCACACATGGTATTGTTGAGAGGATTGTCGGGGGGTTCGCACGTGAGTTGTCCGTGTTGCTATTACTATTGATATTTGCACATACTGCATGACATGGTGGGTATATATATGGGTTTGCGCATGTGGCGAGATAAGGTAGGAACATTATTATGCGCGTGCGGCGAGACAAGGCAGACATTTACTTTATTATTGCGCACGTGGCGAGACAAGGTGGGCTATATCGGGGAATGATATGTGACAACTTGTGATGGCCTGGGGCATTGTTGTTGTTGATATTTGTGTAGTGGTGTGCCTACCTTGTGTGAGTTTTACCTTGTACATTTTGTGGTGATCGCCTCTTATGTGCCATTCATTGTCTCTACTCTTACTTGTTGGCTTGAACTATAGAAGAACACTTGCACAAGCATACACGTGATTAATCACCCATATCGGTTTAAGAAAACGAATCTTGATGTTATTGACCATTTACATGTACTCTCGTCTACTTGCCTTATATGTGAGAGTTGTCTTATTCGCACGTGAGGTGTCCGTGCAGTCATGAGTCATTCTTATTGTTGGCACATGAGTGGTCCGTGCAGATATTATATATTGTCACCCTCTTGGCATGTGCGTCGTCTGTGCAGTTATAAGTTATAATGTGGGCACAAGATGCCAAGTGATTAGGGTTCACAAATTGGGACCCGTGATTGTGATTTTGAGGTTTGGTACCTCGTGGAAGTTCTTGGATAAACTTGGTGTGAAAGCGGTTGTTCTTATTGAGTTGTTACTTGTTTTTCTTTATTTGGTTTCACCGGATTTGAACTGTGTTCAGCTTACTCCACAGTGTTATTACCTGTTGTGTATCGTTGCTAACTGTTGCTTTTAGTTCCTATTACAAGCATTGCATTATTATTGTCATCATGCCTAACTTTATAGTGATATTGTTCCTTGTTAGTTCTACATTTATACTTGTTCAGGTTGTTTATTCCAGTGGGTATCTTGACTATTTCTCGTCACTACTCCACCGAGATTAGTCTTGATACTTACTGGGTACCACTGTGGTGTACTCATGCTACACCTCTGCACATTTTTGTGCAGATCCAGGTGCTTCGGATGTTGTTGATTATTAGCTAGCTGACCGAGCATTGCTGTGGAGACTCAAGGTAAACCTGCCGTCGCGTTTGCAGGCCTCAGAGTCACCTTCTGAAATTTCATCTTGTACTATTTATTTCTCTTCCGGAATAGTTGTATTTAGGGATTTTATAGCAAACTCATTAGAGCTTATGAATTGTACTACCGGTTTTTAGGTATTATTTCAAAATTGGAAATGTTGGTTTCATTTAGAAATATCTAGTTTCCGCTTAATAGTTCTGTTGGTTAATTTCTATCAATTAATTCAGTAAATGTTAGGCTTACCTAGTCGTAGAGACTAGGTGTCGTCACGACATCCTTCGGAGGAAAATTGGGGTCGTAACAAGAGTACTAGTAAATCAATTTCTTTTTTTCTATTCTACCCTTAATATTAATTGTTCTTGAAGACTACAAATACCTTAATTTAAGTAGGGGTGACAAACGGGCGGGTCGGGTCAGATATGGAAAGGTCAAAATGGGTAAATACAAAAATGAATAAATTATCCGACCTGACCGATACATAATACGTATAAAAAATAGGTTAACCGGCGGATAACATGGATATCCATATTATCCATGACCTCTTAAATATGATTACCTTTGGGAGAATTCCTAATCTCCCAAACTTGAGGAACCCCCAATTTCAGGTTTTACAAATGTAAAAGTTAAACTCATTAGTTATCCATTAGTTATCCTTTTTCTAAATGGATAATATGGTTCTTATCTATATTTGATCTTTTCTAAAAGTTGATTATCCAACTCATGTGTTTAGTGGATAATATGGGTGGATAACTATCTTTTTAAATATTTTGCCACCACTACTTATGAGTAAGTATTAAATGAAGAGAGATTATATCTTAAGATATTACTACTAGAAAAATAACCTATGGCAACGCATGCAAAATCGTTACCATTGATCTATTGCAACGGTTTAGTGACCGTTCCACCAGGTCGCGTGCCAAAAGCTCTGAAGCAACGGTTTGGGTAAAGGTTGTATTAACCGTTCCTATAGGGCTGTCTATCATAACGGTTATTCTTCTTTCTGATGTAACGATTATTTTTCCTCTATTGCAACGGTTTAGAACCGTTACCATTAGGTTTAATACAACACTTTTATAAGCTATTGCAATGGTTATTTAAAGATATCACAACGGTTTCTAATGCTCTTGTTACAGTTTTTCATATTGCAACGGTTACTCGCAATACGTTTGATTTTTCTAATGGGACGGTTTACAGATCCTATTGCAACGGGTTGCGTGACCTACTGCAACGTATTACAACACTTGAAATATATTTTGTATACTATTGCAACGGTTCTGGTAGACTATGCAACAACTTAATTAACTATATATATANGTTCAAACCCATCCAAGTGCATGCATAAGCGTTTACTATTCAAGAGTTAGTATAAAATATTCTTAAAACATCTAAATTTTCAGCAATAACCCAAAAATCTTCTTAAGTTAGGTCTAGATCATCAATGTCTCCGTCTTCCCTTTCACCATTTTCTCCACCTACAAAAAAGATAAATCAAGTCATTACCTTCGAGCGCTAGTTGACAATTCAAGAAAGCATGAACGAAAAAGCAAGCAATTCAATTCTAAAAGTTTGAGAAGGGAAACGCGTCAAATTAAAGCAGCAGTAGGACTACCGAACATTTTTGTGTTTGATAAAAGCATTGACCATATCAACTATTATTTCGTACAGTTTTAGGATAGCTTAAGGCAAAACTGCAATGATGAAGCTTTTAACATAATGTATAATTGTAGGAGGCAACTGGATAGCATTTCGTACAACAAGTTGATAGATGGATTCTCATTACCATTATTCTGCTAAAATATATATATGATGGAAAGAACTCCACGAATCAAATCCAATATAAGAAGCATACCTCAAAATATGTCGTGCGGTTCATTTACAAGTTACAACTCACAAATGGCATTTTACAAATACAAGCAATGCCTCAATTAACAAGACAGAAATAACAGCCAGAAAAGTATCTATAGTATATTATATTATAGATACTCATCACGAGTTTCATGTCGACAACTTAAGAAAGACGGCCCAACACTCGGCATCGGGCATAGCAATAGACAAGAAGAAAATTAAGATTTACATCATTTATGCCACTATATTACTACTGAGAAGTGAGAAATAGTTGCGTTCACCTAATGAAGATGGGCATTTCAATTCCGAATCTGCAAACCTCAACCACAAGTAACTATAGTTGCCTTATTGTTTCCATGTAACAAAACAGCAGCGTCTCGCATATTTCCATGTAACAACCTTTTAATTCCTAAAACATGGATACTAACAGATCCTTATCAAGAGAAACTAACTGAATGCAACTATCAACCAACAGAACAACCAAGCTAATTTATTAATCGGCTAAAAGCATGGACTAACAACAACCAGATGTCAAGCAGGAGGTTGTAATATCCGAGCAGCACACGAAGACACAAACAAAGTCTAATTAAAGATTTACCACTTAACCAATATCAAACTAGCCCCTAGATCGAAAGCCACACAACTAGTAGAAGATGGTAAAAAAATTACTATATTAATCAGACTTGGCCAGCACACTAATTTTCCTCTAAGAAAAATTGTCAAACATGTTGCGTGCATGAAGCGAGATCACTCAGTTGCGAACAAGAAGAAAAAAAAATTGTGAACAGAGAAAGAGAGTTGTGGTAGAAGAAGTAACAGAAGGAGGAGAAGAAGAAGAAAGAAAGAAAAGAAGGGGTGTAACATTTGGAGTAAGTACTAACCTCTCTTCCATTTCCTCCATTTTCTGTTGCATCTTGTCCTCTGTATCATTTAATGAGGGTCCAAAATCTTTCATTTTCCTTTTTAAGACGGTCTTGGTAACCCCAAGTCCATACAATCTTACACGACCTGGATGCTCGGCTCTCATTACTGATGCAAATGCGTCTACAGATTGACTGTCATGTTCACTTTCCTGAGTTGATTGTATTTTCTCCATTTCAGCCTACATAACAAATTCAAAAGAAGAGAGCTTAAGTAAATAAAACTGAGTCAATAATTAAGAACTATGAAATAATCTCGACAAACTTTAAATTAGAAAATTCGTACAATTTTACTAATTGTATCCTACAATTTTACTAATTGTATCCTCATATGAGATTTTGTATACTCGACCAGGTTTTCTTTTTTTGGTAGCCACAAAGATGTCCTTACTTGATAGATTATCAGAAGTTTCCTTCTTTTTTGCCTGGTTACATAAAAACAAATATGAAAAACTTTTTCATGTAAAGCTGACAAGTTCATATTAAAAAAGTGATAAACATATTGTATAAAGAAACAGGACGATAGCTTTCACTTCTTATATGACAACGAAACTTAAGTAGCAAAAAATAACAAGACCTTACTGAACTATGACGATTTGGTGCCAATTTTCCAAACTATCATTACTACCAGTAACATGCGGCAAAATTTAATCATCTTCACTTGTCATGGAAACTGGTCAATGGTGTATTCTTACTTGGGTTAGTCATTCTATGTTAATAAAAATCATTTTCCTGAAGAGCCTAGCAGAATGACCATATAATATGGTGGTTGATGCATATCTTTCATAGAAAGTTTTACATGAACTTCAACAGCTTGTTTAAGCATTTGTGATTTACTTGGCAACTAGGTGTGGCTTAAGATCTTAAGTACTAAAGAGAAGTGGGGCATTCTTAAACAAATATTCATACTATGGCTAGCATTGCTTGGTAAACTAAGAATCAAATATATCCTACTGAGTTGGGGCATTAGTATAGATAGTGTAAAAAAGATAAAACATCAAACCTCGCGGATTAGAGCAAAACTTGTCTTGCTAGCAGTGTGTGGATGCTTCAACTTTTTTCGATTCTCAATGTTGGTTTTGGATTGTTTATGCAAATAAAATGAGTCAATAAATTTGGCAGCATCAATGAAAATATAACTCAAGATTTGGCAGCATAGATTTGGAGATCAACAGTATAGCAATAAGAATGTGTACATACAAAGATAGTGGGTGTGCAAATGCATGAACCGCAGTTCTAATGATGGACTGACCCCACAACGAGTTAAGAGTTGCATTCCTTTATTCTGGAAACAATATTCTCGTGATTTGGAATGGTAAATCTTGTGATTCAATCTGTTATCCATTCTTTTTCAGTTTGTTGCTTGATCTATTTCTAAGTTCAATTCAACTTAAGAACACTGTAATTCCAATAGTCTTTTGTTAGTAGCTTTGCTGCTTTAAGCATTTCGGACACTCTAATTTGTAAAAGGAATTTGCATGGTTCTTCTTCAAAAGCTGTTGTTAAGTTATATGAAAGTTAAAGCCTCAGAATACAATCACTCACCAGGTATTTCTATTCTAATTTTAAGAAAAGATCCTCTATTGTCATCTTTTGATACTATTAAATTTTGGAGCAATGAATAAACAGTTTGACTGAACTTTCACTGAAACAGTTTACTTTTCACATTGACAATTAACAGTTAGACAAATGGAGGAAGAAAAGCACAGTGAATTCTGCAAATCTTCATATACACGAACCAGTTTTAAATTTTATTTAAGGAAAGCATATTCAGCGATTGGAGTGTTCAAGTTTACCTTGTGGGAATCGGAGTTTCAATAGTTAAGAAGATCCTTAAAGTGAGATTCCGAAACGTCCACCGGTCTATTCTCCATTCGAAGCTCGTCATTGGCATAGGCGTCAAAGTGATTGTTCTTCAATTTATTCTTATACTTTCTCCAAGCAACCTGAATTGAATGAAAAAACTATGTTTTCGCCTCCTCGAGGATGTCATATTTTGCCTACAAATTTGGTGCAATTAGATTAGTGTAAGAAAATATAAAATATCATCCACGCTTATTGAAAATTAAAAACTTCAAACCTTGACATATTTCTACATGTCATTTTTTGTGTCTAGTTTCTTCCAATTAAATACATTAAGCGGACAAAATATCCCATTCAAATTATTCATGTTGAATTGATACCTCAAAGATTATCAGTTCAAATTATTCATGTCGACACGTATAGTATTTGTAGTAACAAATACCCAACTACTCTTTGTTTGCCCTCGTCTCCATTTTATTTACCTAAGTTCTTACTTGAATTTGGTGACACGTGCCTCATCATTTACTTGATTTAGAGACTGTAAGAATCTATAAGATATTCTCTAATCTTCAAGTATTTGAAGATCATGTTATAGCAAAGTTCGACAAAACAAACATAAAAAACAAAGTTTACTAGTATGTATGAAAATCTGACAGAAATATTTCTCATACTTTAATGGTATATTACTCAATAATATATCAATTTGTCATTATTCATCACTACACAAGCATGCAAACTAGTGGAGGAAATAGATGGATATCAAGTTATTTGCTAATGAAATGGCCATGTGAGACTAAATTGTAGGTGCTGAGATTAATCTTCTGTACCAAGATTTGTATAGTTAAGGAAGACTGTAACATTAGGAAAGTGTTTATGCTGATTAAAGAGAATCTTGTTGTTGGTTTTTTGCTTTATATACCTTTCTCTTTTTCTTTTCAGAAGCTTCATTGTTGTAACAGTAGAACAAGTCTATTGGAAGAATTGACACATAGATCTGCTCAACAATTAGGGAATGGAAAATTGCCTAGAGTTTCAAGTAGCCCTTCTCTGAAGCAAGCTGGATCCCCTTTGCAAATCAATAATTCGGGCCAAACAAGGATGGAATTGATGTCTATAAATTTGGGCAGGCCTATCACTAATTCTAATGAGTCTGTTTCAGAGCCAAGTGGAGAAACAGGGCCAAAAACTCCAACTGAATTGAATTCTACTAGAAAAAGAAAAACAACTCTTCAAGAGGAAATAAAAGAAGTTGCCCCCGCTAATGGAAACATGATTAGGATTATTATGAAGTCAAAATAATCTTGATTTGCTTAACTAATGCAATTAGTGGCTAATCAAATTTTCATTTTAGGGAGGTGAAGGTGATGATAATGCAAGAACAAAGCGATATAAACAAGAAGTAGAAGGAAATGACACAGAAAATGGAGCAGTTAACATGGAGGAATCAAAGGGAAATAATGAAGGTGATGAAACTCAAAATCAAAAGCCTCCTAAGCGACCAAAGGACTATATTCATGTTAGAGCAAGGAGAGGACAAGCTACGGATAGCCATAGTCTATCAGTGAAATTATCAGCACAATACTCCCCTAGAAAAAGATCACAGCACAATAAAAATTGTGTATTTCCAATCAATAACAGTACATCGCTCAAATACCCCAAAAATAAAATTAAAACCAATTAATCTTGTGTAAAGAAACTTACGATGATATTTATTCCACAGCTACCAGCGGCAAATTCTTGTTCCAAAAGGAATGAAATCTGCGAATTAGGGCTCAACTGTTGAGAAATTGCAAATGCAGTAAAAGAAGAGCATGTGAAATAAATCAGAAATTTATGAGAATCGAGCAAAAACCTTGAATTAGGGATCTGTGAAACTTGACGTGTTAGCCGAGCTTAATCGAGAAAAAAAACTAAACTTATTGGATGGTTCAAATTGTTTGAAGGAGCTAGTTGTTTATTGTGCGAATTAGGGCTCAACAGTTGATAATTGTTTGCTGAGATTTGGTGGGTTTAACGAAGGTTGGCAGAGGGACTGTCACCGGCATAGGACTGTCGCTGGCGTGGGTGTCACTGGCGGGGGCGAGGTTTGGCAGAGAGATTGGGCGTGGTTTGTATTGGCAGAGAGATTGAGCGTGAGCTTTCAGAGAGAGGCTTAATATTTTACCTTCTCCTTTTAATTAATTAGTAGTACTATTACATAAAAAATATAGGTAAAGAAAATAGAATGTAAATAATTTGGGGTTTTGGCGGGTTTCACGAAAATTTAGGGGGGGAAATAATTAAGAGGGATTAATAACCGTTCCCATTGATTTTTTTCCCAGATCCGTTGCAATAGATTCGTCTATAGGAACGGTTACAAGAAACGTTGCAAAAAATAGCTATGGGAACGGTTTCCACGCAAGCGCAACGGTTTTATGATTGAAGTGTGCCGAATGTACCTATGCCTTATTGGAACGGTTACGACCGGTTCCATAAGTGCTCTATAGCAACGGTTTCTGAACCGTTGCAAAGAATCCGTTGCCATAGGCTGATTTTCTAGTAAATAAGAGTATAATAGTAAAAACTTTTCTTATTTAATATTTTTTTACGGGGCGTGTAAAAAGCAAACATGACAGATAACTTGAGATGGAGGGAATATATATTAGATGTTGAATGTTATTCTTGCATTAAAAAGTATAATAAAGTATTTATAGCTTCCGAACCATATTGAAATCTTTTGTAGACTCGGCCGAATTAACTTACGAAAAAAAATTATTCTTAAAAGTAGTTGTTGTATAATAAATGCATACTTGCAGTAAGAAGAATATTGTTACTTCATATATAGTTCATACAGTATCATTATTTATTGTCATGTCTACTTCAAAATATATATATTCTGGCAAGTCTTGGACTGTTGGGATAGTATCTCTGATAGAAAAATTTCCAAATAAGGAAAAAGTACTGATACTCCAGTATCTTTGCACAATATTTAAGCTGACACAATATTTAGTTAAACTCATATCAAAAAGGGAGGAATATGATGACAATAAACGAAATTATTTGGCAAGATTTTAGTTTAATACAATTTGTATTATTGAAAAATAGAAATTAATTAAGAAGGATCTGAGCAAATACATGTATATGCCCTTTTTCCCCCACAAATTGTCTTAATTCTTCTTTTGCACCCTTGGTCTCATCATCTTTCTAGTGCTACTCAACCTCTTCGTCCCTTCCTCTCTTCACTTGCTATGTGCGCTTGAGATCGAGTCTCGTGAACGTTCACATACATAACGTACAATACGACTTTTGTTAACATATTTTTGAGTTCTACTTCTATATACTTACTCTGTAAATGAATACCTACTTGTACCTACCGATTATAAGTACAATCTACTATAACATGTTAAATTACGTTGCTAATGTAACAATTTTGACATAGTATATATATATATATATATATATATATATGAGATAAAGATTTCAAGATAATGTTGCAAAGTTCTTATATAAATTTATATATACCAATAGAGAAAATTAAAAAAGACGTTTTCTTCAAAAGACTGTTATAGTATATGTTTATAGGTAATATATTTAATTTTCTTGTGTGAAACGTGAATTTCTTAATTATTTTTAATAAAATATTATTATATTTTAAAGCGCATAAAATGCTGGATTATAAATTTTTCAAGAACTATTATTTTCCATGAGAAGTCCAATCCCAAGTTTTGAAAAAAGCAAGCACATACAATATTCATTAGTCCTCTCTTAGATCAATTGAATGCATTTATTTGAATATCTTTTGCATTCTTCTGGAAACTGTCTCCCAAGTAGCATGGGAATAGTAGTAGTAATGATATACATATCCAATCCCAAGTATTGAAAAAAGATTGCACAGGCAAAATTCATTAGTCCTTTCAGATCAACTGCATACATTTATTTGAATACCTATTTCATAGTCAAGGAAACTGTCTTCCCAACCACAAAAAACACTCCATTGTATGAAAAAGAAATAGTAGTAGTAATGATATACATATAGGGTAGAGCAAATATAGTAGCTGCCTTCTTAGAAATTAAGAGGGATCCGAGCAAATGCATATAGTTGTATTGACAATCATATTTGTATATAATTTTACAAAAAGGCATGTTACTATTATGCTACATACCAGTCCTTCATTGAGGATTATAGAAGCGACATGGAGTAACATGAACAATAGCTAAGGTGCTGCCTACCTAGTATTCCCACCGGGTGTAACGACCCGGCATGTCGTTTGGAGAGTTGTAGTCCCGTTCCTCCATTTACTATTCATTACTTGCTTAATTGTTGTTATGTGACTTGTCGGGGTAGTTAGTTCGGGTCCGGATAGGTTTCAGAATGAATTGAGATACTTAGTCTCAAGGTTGAAAGTTTAAGTTGAAAAGGTTGACCGGATGTTGACTTATATGTAGACGACTCCGGAATAGAGTTTTGATGGTTTCGTTAGCTCAGTTTGTTGATTTTGGATTTAGGAGTGTGTCCGGATAGTGATTTGGAGGTCTGTGGTTGATTTAGGCTTGAAATGTCATAAGTCGGAAATTTTGAAGTTTGACCGAGAGTGGACTTTGTAGTTACCGGGCTCGGAATGGGGTTCCGGGAGTTGTAATAGGTCTGTGGTGTCATTTGTGACTTGTGTGCAAAATGTGAGGTCAATCGAACGTGATTTGATAGGTTTCAGCATCGTTTGTAGAAGTTGAAATTTCTTAGTTTTCATTAGGCTTGAATTGGGATGCGATTCGTGTTTTTGATGTTGTTTTTGGGGTGCAATTCGTATCGTGTTTTAGGACTTGTTGGTAAGCTTGGTGGAGGTCCTGGAGGCCTCGAGTGGAGGGGATTAATGAGTGGTGATTTTACCATTTATTCTTATCTTTTTTCTTTAGTTTTTATGTCGTTTAATTATAAAATGAGGTAATTTATGGTGTGCATTGCTAGATTATCGGGTAAATGAAGTATTGAAAAGAATTGGAATTAAAT